CAAAATACATGACTTTATAGTCAATTACATAGTAAACATATCAGGATATTCACAGTGTATTAGGTTATTATAAAGGACAGTTTTTATTTTACTGATGCTGTGGGGAAGTCTTGGTTACTAGATTATAGTGCTTTATTGAATCCTAGGTAAACTGTTTTTTCAGTAACAGGATTTAAATTTGAGTAATAGACTTACAGTTAAAGAGTTAGTCTTTTCAAATTTCAAACGAAGTGTTAAAGGTTTCTGTTTAGGGGAGGGAGTCTGTGAGGAGGGTGCTGAGCGTTCCTATAAAAAAGTTATTTAGGAGTCTACAGAGGAGAATCTGTCATAAACTATAAAAATAAGAGCCAGAAGTTCAATATTGACCTGTAGTTGGCAAATCGATTGACTATACAAAAGTCTCTTTGATGCAGTTCTTTATTGGACACTGGAGTCCTATCCTATCTTAGGCTCGGTTTAACAGACATTTTATGAGAGTCCTTTATAAGTCTGGCACTGTGCTAAACATTAGAGATACAAAACGATCAAAATGTCACTGTCCTCACAAAAAGATAATCACAACACAGAGATAAGGGGAGTTAAAGAGATCAGGAAAGGAAGGGGGAGATGGGGAGGTACAGGTCAGGGTTCGTTGCAAGAAGTACTACCTATGTTCAGACAAACTGTCTGAACTTTCATTTCATTAAGAACAAATAAAGAACAAAGGATGTTTATCACATTACGAGCAGATACTAAAATTTAAAAATTATTTCCATCTTCTAATCAAATCAATAGAATAAGTGGTATATATGTTTTTGAAGCTATAGGAGGGGCTTGATGGTTATTCAGCCAGGTTCTCCTAAGAAATAAAATTCTTAGAATTTGCTCAGACTCATGCCAAAGCATATTGTTCAAAATCAGATTAAATTTACCATATTTTTATCTCCAAGCAAAGTGATAGATTGGACGCTTAACATATAATGCTAATGCAGAAATAAGTCAGCAGCCAGACGGTCTCCCTGTACTTTTAGAAGTAATTCCATAGAGTTTAATCAGAGCTTATAGAGCAGATGAGTTTTCATTTGCACATGCTTTTTCTACACAATCAATGCAGTCTGCAGTTTGCTTATGTGGAAACTATCTCAGTTTCCACTTCCGTGCATTTGATTTGGCAACAACTCTAGACATCCACAGAAGTTACATGATGACTGTTGTTGCTGAACACTTTGAATTACTTGGGAATAGGGTTTATAATTTGTTTTACCTACATGTTTGTCTTACAAATTCATTCTATGAAAAATGTTTTTTAGAAGACCTTGAGTCCTCCCTGACTGGTAATGCCTTCAGAAGAAACGATGTAGGGGTTTTCGCACAGTGATTCCATGTGTTTAGGATGAGCTTCGATTCCCAGAGCCCTTGTGGTAAAAGAAACTTTTGATAGTCACTTAGTTAAATCCCTTCATCTTTTTTTTAATTTAATTTTTTTATTTTGTATTGTATTTATTGGGGTAACATTGGTTAATCATCCGTATATTGTATTGTGTGTTCACCACTCCAAGGCATGTCTCTATCACCCTTTATCCCTGTTTTACCTTCTCCTGCCTCCCCCAACCCCCATTTCCCTCTGGTAATGACCATACTGTTGTCTGTCTATGAAGTTTTTTTTTAATCCTTTAATCTTATCATTGAGAAAACCCACGGCCCAATGAAGCCCAGTGGGCCATTCACATCCACGCAAGATGCTGCAGTGCCAGGACAGAGGACCTTAGTCTGCATCTTCCAAGCTCAGGGTCCCTGGCATCTTACACTTTAGTGTACACCCAGATCTCTTGGGAATCTTGTTAAAAATGCAGATCCTTATTCAGTAGTTCTGGACTGGGGCCTGGGATTCATTTCTACTAACAAAAACCTAAAAGATGCTGGTGCTCTTGGTCCATGGACCACACTTCAAAAAACAATAGGGCTTTACATGAAGAAAATTCATGAGTGAAGATCAGCTTTCGTGGAAAGATTGTTGTGGTTCAGACATAGCTGAAAATTCCAAAACAAATTGAAATACCTTAACATCCAGTGTTACTACACCAAATATTCTTTATCATCTTATGACAGAGATAAACCAGATCACCATGATGCTAGTTTCCTAAGAAACCTCATTTTAGAATTTCATAGTAATTAGAAAATTGGTTGGGTAAGATTTTTGATCCCTTTCACCTAGTTTTTCTGTGCCCTCTGATCTCAAAACTGTCATTTAAGATGGATGAATGACAATTTTCTAATAAATGCACATTCCTTCTCTCAATTTGTTAATTTCATGATTCTTAAATAGTGCATTCCTGACCACAAATGCTTCTCTCTCCCTTTCTTTCTGTCTCCCCGCCTGCACACAGACACATAAACACACAGCATTCATGTATCTTATACCACATTCTTTGTATGAAAAAAATGGATTATCGTGTGGTCAGTATGAGGATGTTTTTTCAAGGCAAACAGGTAAGATGAAATAATCATTATGGAATATATCTTTAATTCTGAAATTTCCTGCTTAATTATAGGGTATGTCTATATGGATTTATAGTCCTAGTTCAAAAACAAATACACAAATAAAAAACCCAAATACTTCAGAAATTATGTTGTCAAATAAGTTATATGGAAAGCAAGTTTCCATGTATTTTTCTTATATATCTGTGAAAACATTCTTACTGAAGCATGTGACATGTCATCTTTATGAGAAATGACCCAGCCTTGAAGGTTATAGTTCTTATTTCTGTACTTCTCTGGGTAGATCTTCCTCTTTTTACTGCAACAAAAATATTCTAACCAAAACTAACCTGTTCATTTATGTAAAAGTGTTTTTAAGGAGTTCAAAGGTGCTATGTCAATCAATACAGGATGTTTGTTGTTAAGCTCATTGATATATTGTTAATGATCATTATATTTAAGTTGACACAGTGTGCGTGGGGCTGAAAATTTGCAACTGCCAGTATTTTACCTTCCAGGCCTTTCTTCACTAAATAGGAGAGTTATGTGTACCAAATCACATGGTAACATTTTTTGGCATTGAATTTGGCTTTAAAAGAAATTTTTTAAGTCACCCTTATATTAGTGAAAAAAGAATAGTTTTACTTGCATCTCTTTGATGCCAAAAGATAATGTTTATTCTTATTTATTCTGGAGAAGAAAGGGTTGTATGTAAGTCATGAGCTATGTGCTATCAGAACTATATTATATTAGGCACTTTGTATGTTGCCTATGGTGTAAGTGAACTTTTAGTAATAATTATGGCTAAGGGTGTTGAGCATCTGTAAGTATATTTGCTTTCTAGAATCTTTCAATGGCCCCACTTACTAAAGTATGATAGTGGGTAAAATGAATCAAATCTGAAATGCTTTAGGTACTGGAGTAACATCACCAAAAAAAAGCAGGTAGTTGTAAAAGACTTCCATATTTAGGCATAGTTGCCCCACTACATAACCTTGAAAACAGTAGTATATAAATTCTAGAATTTTGATAGGTGAATATAAGCAAGTGAGTAAAATATAAATTTTATACAATTCCCAAATAGTTTTACCTTAAAAGCAAAATGAAATAAAGTACTACTGTAGAAGTTTTAATGCTTAAGTGTTAAAAAATGTATTTGTCTTTAATTTGGGGTAATTGTATGAAGAGAAATTTCTAATAAAAATATGCCTCTGTCTTTCAGCATTAAAAATGAGACCTGATTTGTAATGTCTTTAAAAAAACAGAATGTAATTTTTATTGTCAGTAATCATTAGGGTGTGAAAGTGCTTCACTTCTCGTGTAGTTTGATGATTTAACTTATAACATAAAAACAGCTAGGAAATAAATACAAAACTGAATGTCTATAACAGTAAAAACTCAATCATTTAAATAACAGAAGATTATGGATGGAACCACATAAGCTCTTACCAAAACCAGTGTTTGTTTTTTAAATTATTTTTCAATTACAGTTGATATGCAATATTATACTAATTTCAGGTGTAAATACGGTGATTAGACATTGATATACCTTACAGTGTGACCACCCCAATTAACATAGGGAAAGTCAATGACTAGTGGCAAATAAGGAAATGCCAAGGGAAAATGACTTAGCTGCCCACCCCTATTCAACTTCTCAACCTCACTCAGTTAACTTACGAAGACTGAAGCAAATAACAACAAAACTGTATACCCTAGAGATTTCATGGGACATGGTTTTCTAAATGTTTTGTCTTTTTCTTTTCTTTATGTGTTCAGTCACCAGGTCATTTGTAGGAATCTCCATATTCCATAGGAGGAAAATTGCCAGTCTGAAAATTCAATGTCTTTAGCATTCTATTGCTTATGACATTTTTACCCTCTAGGTGCCAACCTGGATTCACTGGAGCGAGATGTACTGAGAATGTGCCAATGAAAGTCCAAAACCAAGAAAGTATGTTAAAATAATCTGAAATTTGCTTCCTTCCCAAATTACAGCAACAATCACTACCACTTGGTGTTTTTACAGCTCAGTTGTAACTGATTCCTTTTGTTCTAATTATGGTTTAACCACTCAGGGCATAAAACATTCAATCTGACCTTGTTCACCTGTCTCTTAACATGAGCCCCAAAGGGCAAAAATTTAAGAAAATGATCCACCAGGATGGCCAGTGATGCTGGCACCATGGCCAGCAGGCCAAACACACACACAAAAAATTCCTTCCAACATTTTTGACTAAAGTTATCAAATGGAAAACTAGATGTCAGATTTAATTTTAAGTGACCGCTTTCTGAAAGAAAGCGGTCACTTAAAATGCTGGGATCTTTCTGTCATACAAAAGGGAGGACCACATTTGGTCCAAATTTTTAACCCTTTGGGGGAAATGCCAGAGTCTGAAAGCCATGATTAAGACAAAGACTCAGTTCCTGAGGGTGAACTCACCAAGTTCAGTCAAATGACACTGAAGGAGCTTCTTTCTAGCAAATATTCACCTCTTCTCTTTTTCTCTGTTTTTTCTACCATTGTTTTTTGTTTCTTCTCTCAGGTGCCCAAATGAGTTTACTGGTGATCGCTGCCAAAACTACGTAATGGCCAGCTTCTACAGTACGTCCACTCCCTTTCTGTCTCTGCCTGAATAGGAGCATGCTCAGTCGGTGCTGCTTTCTTGTTGCTGCATCTCCCCTCAGATTTCACCTAGAGCTAGATGTGTTTGACCAGGTCTAACATTGACTGCCTCTGCCTGTCGCATGAGACCATTAACAAAAGCGATTGTATTACTTCCTCTGTTCGTGACTAGTTGGCTCTGAGAATCTAATAGGTGTGTGAGGCTCCCGATGTTTCTGAAATTGATATTGAATCATGTGATACAAAATGATAGTCAATATCAAGCAGTGCAATTATAATAAAGGCATTTAAAAGTCTCACTTTTATTGATAAAATAAAAACATTCCACTGAACAGTCCATCTTCTTTATAAAGTGACAACATCCTGAAAAAGATGTTGCTAAGTTGTAACCAATATGCACTTGATATGATGGTAAGTTAATTTTGGTTTCAGAATGTATTTATTATGAATAAACATAACAAAAAGAGTTCAGATGTTTTTCTTCATTAACCAGCAGTTTGCATTTAGGTATTTAAAAAAAAAAAAGCACTGAGTAGGAAAATTAAAAACAAACATTTCACAGCAAATGAGATAGCCTGGCTTCTATTTATGATGCTTTGGAAACAAATGATTCAGAACTAGTTTAGACAATCATTTATTTATGTTAGCATTTCCAACTGATAGTTCTAATTATAATTTTAGGGGAAAATAGGTTTTTTAAAATATTATTTACTTTGAAATATAACAGTTTACTTCTAGATATATATTTTTAAATGAAGAACTGAGAAATGTTGATGGGTTTCTATCTTCATGAAGTTTGGGACATCATTCCCAAACAACCTAATTCACATTGCATATAATTGCATGGACAACTAAACTGTGGTTTTGTCCTCCTTTTGTGAATTGGATGATAGCTTTTCATTCTGGAGCTTCCAAAGCATTGTATTTAAAATGTATTCCATAAAACTATCCACTTAGATCGAAGGTTGATGTTTTTCTTTTCTACAATCAGACAGTAAATACTTTAGGGCTTGCAGATGATATCATCACAATCGACTACTTAACTCTGTCATTGTAGCAAAAAATAAAAAGCAGCCATAGACGATGCATAAACTGATGAGCATGGCCATGTGCCAACACAGCTTTACTTACAAGAGCAGGCAGTGGGCTACATGTGTCCACCTCAGGACTGCCCACTGCTCACCCTCAATAACATGACACAGCGCTCATTGCAGTGTAAATTGATGTAACACAAGAAACAGTGATAAGAGCTGGTCATTTGGGGGACCCTAAAAGCAGGGATTTAGCCTTACTCGTATGCATGCAGAGGATAAGATTCTGTTCCTCCTGTTATTAGTCATAGAATAATAAACTCCATGGAAAGATAAATTCCATATGCATTAGGGGAAAATTAAACCCATAATATTTAATCATTTAGTGAAGTGGTACTTATTATATAATATTTACATAGACTACATGTCAGAGATTATGTTTCGGCCATTTGGCCACTTTCTGTTGTAAAAAACTGGTAAATTGATACTGCTAAATGTTCAGATACAGTCTTTATTGAAAAATCTTTAATTTTTTTTATTTATTGACTTGAGTGAGAGAGGAAGGAAAGGACAGAGGGAGAGAGAAAGAGAAACATCAATTTGTTGTTTCATTTGTTTATGCATTCATTAGTTTCTTCTTGTATGTGCCCTGACCAGGAATCGAACCCACAACGTTGGCTTATCAGGATGATGTTCTAATGAACTGAGCTACCTGGCCGGGGCTGACAAATCTTAATATGAATTTAGTGAACAGAAGTTTTCTCTATAACTATATAGATTGATTTTTTTTAAGTAGATAATATAGAAAGTAAAAATAGAAGAGAAATACTAGAATTTTACTTAGTATATGAAAGCCATTCCTTTTAGGAATGTGCTTGTATTTAAAAATATAGACTTATCAAATGCTTAAAACTATATAAATACAATGAAATTATATTTTATAATTTAATGAAAATTCTGAACATTTGCATTATACTTAAATTTTTGGTATTACATAGTTTCATTGTATACTGAGGGCAATATTGGGGCACTATGTAGAGAAAAGCATTAAAAATGAAGTTATTTCTAATAATAATAATGCCATTGGATCTGAGAGTTGTAGTCAGGGAAAAATATTCTCAACTTCTTTTTAGACCATTTTCTTTCATAAGATATTCTTTTTAAAAAGCCACACTATGTATATTTTTAATAATTTTTAAATTGATTTCAGACAGAGAGGAAGGGAGGGTGGCAAAGGGGGAGAGAGAGAGAGAAATATCGATATGAAAGAGAAACACCAGTTGGTTGCCTCCTATACACGCCTCGACCTGCATGTATGGGACGGGATCAAACCTGCAACCTAGGTATGTTCCCAGACTGGGGATCGAGCTCATGACCTTTCAGTTTACTGGATGATCCTCCAACCGAGCCACCAGGTCAGGGCTCAACCATACTATGTATTTAATCAGAATGTGATTCCTTAAATAAATTTTTTACTAAGCTTTCAGTGGCACTTTTGGAAGACATCCAGGAAAGCAGCATTCACATTTAACCTCATTTAACAAAGATTGATCAGAAGCACATTTATGAAAAAAAACTGTAAAGGCAGAGCATAGGTGCTGCCTCATTCCCAGAAAAGCAAGGACTTCCAATCAGAAACTGCTTTCCAAAGTCATCTGGCCCAGAGTTCATTTTCTCCACTTCATGTCTTAAATTCTCAGTTTTTATTTCTGCAAACTCCTCCATAGAAGGCAGGAAAATAAATTTTTGCTATTGTAAGAACTTTATGTTCAAGTAGCAATGAGGGCTGCATAAGGAATAAAAAACATTGCCACGGTGGTAATGTTTAAAATTTAATTGTTAGTGTTCATAAAGTCTGAAACACATAACATAAATTTTAAAACAAATGATATTCCCCAGCTTTAAAAAGAAGCATTTTTTAACTTGCAAAACCACATTTTCGGTTGAAAAATAACATTTTAAAGGAATGTACAATTTTTACAATGCTTATTAACACATAAATTTCATTATCAGGATTCGATGCAACTTTTCTGGTCAGAATGTCCTATGAGACATTTTATTGATTTATAAAAACTGATTTAAAATACAAAAGAAAGGAACAAGTGTTTACTGTATACAGCTTTCTTGGAGACAGTCATGTGCATTGCTAGGACAATGTTGCCAAGGCTAGTCAGCTTCAGACTTGACTGACTGACACAGAATTTCTCCTTCAAAGGATTGTGTTCATCAATGTGTGTGTGGTGTGTATGTATGTGGATTACAGGCAATCCGTAATTAATTTATAGACTTCATGGAGAGGCTGACGTAGGCACTCAAGGCTTCAACAGTTTGAGGACGTATGGGGCAAGTATGTGATACAGAAACTAACATAATAAGTAATTATAGAATAGTCCAAATTATAGAATATTTTTAAAAAGTGCAATTGTGAGAGCTTTTAGGCATAGTCTCAGAATGCGTAAACTTAGCAAACATCCTTAAAAGTAGTTCTGAATCCTAAATTACTGCTGCAGAAATTGTTTTGATTTCTAAATGCTTTCAAAATCTGTTGAAGTTACTAATTTATGTAGCAAACATGTATCTTACTGACAGTCAAATAAAGACACACTCAATCTCTGACAAAATGACCGTGAATTCCAACTGAATGTAGTGAGATTTCACTGTGTGTGTGCTTGTGAGTATGCTCCTTTGCACATGGGAATGGGAGTAAGGAGAAAGCCTCCCATTACATTTTGAAGGGCTCAATGACCACATGGATTGGTATATGTGAAAAACAAGTATCCGCATTTGTAAAAGGTAAGTTCAAAATTACAAGTCAGACATTAAATTGGTCCCATGTAGAATGGGCACTGACAGACTCCTTTAGAAATCTCAAAGATGCCTATAGTCAAGACTGCACACAGTCTTTGAGATTATTTCCATGAGGAGACCCAAGATGCTAAAGAGTAAAATCCTGAATGCCTTCAAATCTTTCAGAAAACATAGTCATTGCATGTACATATAATTTTGGTAAAGGAAAGTTGTCATTGTTCTTTTTTCTAATGGAATTGAAATTTTAAATTAACCTACAGGTTAATCAGGTTTTTTCAAACAATTATAAAATCCTAAAACAAAGGATCAGTGAGTCAGTATTTAATAGTGTCTGCAGACTCTTAGATTTAAATTAATTTTTTATATTGCTTACTGCACAGCAGGAAATCACATGTAGAAAAGGAAACTAAATTGTTTACAGTAACCTTTGTGTTTTTGAATTATTAATTTAATTTGAAAAATGTAGTGGCTAGGCAGCAGTTCAATAGGAAGCGTATGATGCATAATGAGCTGAAGCCAACATTAGATTAAATAGAATAGATAGAAAGTAATAACCTCTTCATAAAATGGAAAATGTTTGTGTATTATGCTTTTCTTGACTCACGAAGAAGAAACATAGCCACCAATAGTAAAAATAAATTAGAGTAGTGTTTGCTCCAGGTCTAGAATGACTGATGCATGTTTCCTCTGCTTGTTTCCTTGTTAGGGCTTATGGCCAGAAGAGATTCCAATTTTAAGTACCAATTTCCCTTTGAATTATTTGAAATTGGAGCTGCCTGATATGAATGACTTCCCATGAAATGAAATTATAGTTAGGCTCACAGACTTACCTATAAAACTGTAAATGCAGTAATATGTATGCATGGGCATGCTACTAATTTTATTGAAGACCTAACCAAGCTTTCTATGCAACTAATATAGATCATTAGCAGTGTTCACGTAGGCATGGAATAATGATTCTCTGGAAAGAGTTTATGTCGATATCTCTTGATTTTAACCCTTAAATTGTTACTGACTGGTAGGAGGAAAAGGCAAGCGATGGAAAGGGTTCTAGAGAGAAAAATTGAGTCACAGCCTCATGAAAATGTATAAGGAAATTTATTATCATTTCCTCTGAACATGAATTTTCATACTTTGGTGTTCCAAAGTTTATATGAAGGACACAAATGGAAAAAAACAATGTCCATTTGTCAAATCATTGCACAGAGGCAAGAGAAATTTGTTTTCATTTCAGTAAATTGTTTTGCTGTGAACATTGTGCAACCAAATTAACCCTACATCATCTGGCTTTTAATTTATGAAAAATTTAGGTTATCTGCCTAAGTCCCCTCGACCCAAAGCAGAGGGGACTCTCAATTATGCAAAGCGCCTGTCATTATCATGTACAATTTTATATATATCTATATATATTTTTAATCTGTGAAACCTCATTTCCTTAAGATGTGGCAAGTTTTTAAAGTCTAAACTCTTGACATATCCCAGGAGCTTTCAGAGATTTCCTAGCCATGAAATTGGTCAAAAGTAAACCTCCACGCAGTAATTGGCCCAAGATAAATGTCCAGACGTGTCTATTCTCCAAGCTATTAAAACCATCAGCTGTTGGCCGACCTATTTCACGGCCTCTATTCCACAGAGTTGCCCATGAGGCCCATGTTAATGTCCTAAGCATTTTGCCAATGAGAAATTAACTTGTCCAAAGTCACTGAACAGGTAAATGGCAGAGGCAGGACCTGAAACCAGGACAACTCCAGCACTCTTAGCTCCTACATTCCCCCACTGTATGAGACACTTTGTCCGGGCCCAAACTGATGGTTCTATCAGAGAAATACCCCACTACCATGTTTTCAAACTTAGAGGCACCCTGTCATTTTTTTCGACTGCCCTGGTATCTCCCAATCAGTCGACTCCTAGACCTCTGTGTTCTTTCCTCCCCTGCCTCTCCACCAACCGCACGAGGAGCTCCTACAGGGTCCCACCTGGTGAAATTTGATTAGCAATGTTTATTTCAAGAACAGGAAGTGTCATTGCCAGAGTATTTTTCCTTCTTTTCCCCATTTTCCCCCTTTCCTCATGTGAGCCCGTGCAGGCCCCACTGGTCCTGCAATTCTGGTACCTCCAGATCAGATCTGCCAGGATTGCGGGCTCACACCTGTCTGGCGCCTTCACTGGGCTGCCCCAGGCAGGTCCCCTGAATGCCTGCTGGCCAGCATCTGGGCATCAGCACTCAGCACTGCCCAGTGATCGTCTAACTGGCTCTCTGTCACTCAAGAGAGTGATAAATTAAAATTCACCAAAGATCCCTGGAATTGTATCCTCCCCCCACATATTTTTTAACAATTTGAAAAATCCATTGAACATGTACCATACAGAAATGACATGGAAACATTGCAAGCAGGTTCTGATGCCCCAGGGCTCTCCCTGGCTTGTGGGGCAGAAATGTTTGTTAAATATCCCATAAATGGTGGAGAAAGTAGAAGGTTAGGAGAAAGGAGGTAGAGTTCAAAAAAATTAACCAAAGCAACAAGAAATAGGAGAGCATAACTAATGAAAAATATAAATCCAATATGATAAAATTTTCAGACCAAATTTTTACCCCCTTGGCTTCTATCCTGGCCCTGCTGCTGTGTGTCTTTGGGGGGAAAAAAAACCCATAAAAACCTCAACTATCTGGAACTTTGCTTCTGCCTTTGAAAAAGAAAGGAATGAAATAATACCAAATTCCTTTTCCAATTATAAATACGATATTTCTATTCCCAAACTATGTAGAATAAGGAGCGTAGAAGAAAGTTCAGCTATACAACTTCTCCCTCAGTAAGGTCTTTTAAGGGTTAATAAAGACACAGTGTGCCGGTATTTGCACACCTCTTAAAAGAGAAGTTCCTTGTGTGGACTGTTGGAGGCGTACCTGAGCACTGCTTTGTTAACAACACCCTTTGTCCTGTTCAATGTGCACGCACAGAGAGCTGTAATAGTCATGTGTAATGTGTTTTGGAGTGCAGTGTATTGCTCTTTCTGAAACTTTTTTCCCTTTCTTTCTTTTTTTTGTCAACTTTCTGCATTGGCAGAGCATCTTGGGATTGAATTTATGGGTATGGACCAATCATCATTCCTTTTAGCCTGCAGAATTTAGAGCCTATGAGCTGAAATCTTTTTCCCTTCCCACTCTTCCCTTTCAGTTCCTAACAAATTTCCTTTTTCTTTAGAAGGGATCATACAGCTATAACAATGATTTCTCTGCTTCCAATCTATGATTAATTTACCAAAATGTTACTGAGTGCAAGCAGCTTTTAGATTCCCAAGCTTCACTTAGAGTTTAAAACCATCTCACCTGCTGCAAATTCACACCTATGTCACGTTCCTTGACCCACTGATGGGATCTGGCCATGCTGTAATTTCAGAGCCGGGGTAAGTTGGAGCGGTACGCAAGGCTACAAGAGGAACCAAACCAGGGACCTGAGCACCAGTGAAGTTTTACATACATCACCTTAAAAAAAACAGCACATCTTAGGCTGATGGTAGTTTGACATACACTATAAAAATCATTTAATACAGTAGCAGAGAAAGTTCTTACATTGCAATACGATACCACATGAACAGACATGAACTGCTCTGATCTTCTGGAGCTATTCAGGCATGACTCTAGTCAACTTCATTATCTCATGAGCAAGGAAATAGAAAACAGAGATAAGCCATGTGCTATTTTAGGTGGAAAGTCTAGTGCTAATGGAATTAAACTTGAGTCACAAAGATTATCCAGACAAATAATCAAACACTGCAAATGTAAAATATCTCCTACAAGAATATGAAATTGGGGCATGCTCCTTTTGAACATCTTCATCCTAAATAGTTGGTAGAAAAGACCAGCCTTGGAAGGAGAGGAAGCCACGCTACCTTCCCAGAGGATCCATGGCACAGACCCCAGGCCTCCTGGATGCTGCATACAACCCTGGACTGTGGTCATGGGTCCACAATGTCCTGATGAACGGCACGTCTGCTCCCTGTCCAGCTGGTGTCAGCAACATCGTACAGGGAGGGCACCCTACAGCTGCTGTCTCCTTTTGCCTGATAACATCACAGTTGACAGCTATCGCACTTTCTACAATTTGTGGACAATGAGGCCGTTGTAGGATCTAGCAGTTGCAGGAATAGAAACTCAATTAATTGCCTGCATCTCCAAGAAACTTCCCACATTTGTATGTGGTCTCTTGAATATCAAAGGACATCTCCCAGGAGTGAGAGGCAAGAGAGGGCACACCAGTGTCACTTGAGTGGCAGGTCATCTACTTGAGGGGAGTAGTCTATCACTTCCCTCGGGATAAAAATTGACTCACTTCTACAAAGGCTTATTGGCCTTCCCTGCAGGCAGGAAAAACATTTCACAATTTCCTCCCCTCTTCTTCCTAACAGCATCTTTGCTATTTTATCACTTTAGAGTCTGACCATAGAATTATTATCTCCATTCCCAAACAGTGAAGTAAGGTAAAGGGTGGTTCAGACATACCACTTCTCCCTCAGTAAGATTTCAAGGGTAAATAAAGACAGAGCTCCTGATATTTACTTTCCTCATAAAGCCTGTCCTTCTGGAGGCTCAGCAGCCCCCCGAGGCTAAGGAACCTTAGCCTCAGACCTTAAAGGTCAATTAAAGTTGAGGAAGAAGCGGCCTCTGTCACTTTGCCTGGCCAGATCACACTGAAAAACATGCTTGCTCTGAATGTGTCCAACCAAACCATGAAGTCTCAGCAGCATTTCCACTCATTGAGGCAGGTCTGCCAACTGGACTGAGGACGTCTTTTTTTCAGTGCTGCCTCTTATGTGGAGTTGTCCTATTGACCTCATCACACTAAGAAAAAATATAAGGGGAAAAGGAGGGTTTAAAAGAAACCATTGTTTACATTATTTTTCATCAGATATTTTTGTTATAACACATTCAATATTGTGGGGTGGGCAGTGGGCACCTGACCTAGCAAAACATTGGAAAATCAAATAGAAACCTAGATTAGAAACATTTAAGGCATTTAATAAATGCTGATGTGAATACAGAATCTGAGCCCCACATCTGTATTCTATGGGCCTTTGCTTTGGCTGTTTCACTTAGCACCTTTTCTTTACCCCTTGGCCTTCACTGGTCCCTTTTATTCCATAACTGACCTCACTGGGAAATGGGTACCTTGCTGCATAACACAGGCAGGGTGGGCCAGGCATCATATACCAGGTGCTCACAGACCCAGGCCAACCTACTCTTTTATCATTAACAACAATCAAAAAACTGAAAAACTGAGCGATCGAATCCCTGAGAGTACACACGGTACAACACCTTCCTTTACTTTTTGGATAGGTCTCATTTTTGTAGTTTGCCAAAGCAATTTCCCAGTTTTTTCCTAAAGATACGATGTTTAGATGCCAATGCTACCAAACCCTTATCATTTTAAGAGAAAAAAATAAACTGAAAAAAGCCACATAAGGCAGGGCCTTCATTTTCTCAGCAGTAATACTTTTACACTCCTTTCTTAATCAATGCTCCATAATCAAAGGCGCCTTGCTCTGTGTCCTGGGTCCCATGGAGAAGGATAAGCAGGTATATCCTAAGGGCTGATCTGGATGCCACGTCAATGAGGAGGCTCCAGGGGCATCAGCTCACAGCTTAACACCCCATAAAATGTAATTCCCTGTTCTATTTCTATGGGGGAGGGGAGGCAGCAGACACAAGCCATTAACACATAAGCATTCACATTCCACTCCTCACTTGACTTTTGCGGCACAGAAATATGCGGCAGCACTCTTTTGTCTCCTGGTTCATTGTTTCACAGCAGTACACCAGCTGCTTTGCTTCCTAATTGTGGCTTCCACATGCCGTCCGGCCTAGGTTAGGAGTTATGCTGTATGGGGCAACCCTTCCAACTCTGCATCCACCTCTCCTTCCTACCTGAGCATTTCCTCCCTCTGGTCTTCTGTTCTTTCTTTCCTGTTCCTCCCTTAGTATCAGGCATGCTGTGCCAGGGACTTCAGATGACTCCTTCACTTTTAACCTTGTTTTCCCTTGTACCTGACTTCCTCCCTCTCTCAGTCATTCTGTCAGTCTGTCTGTCCTCTTGGTTTGTTTTTCCTTTTCTACTTCCAACCTTTTGGTTTGTTTTTGTCTAATCTCTGCAGCCTTCTAGTCTTTTACCCACTGACTTCTGTTCTCCTCCTCCTCCTGTTAATAATCAGTGCTATATTAATTGGATTTGACAATGTTCCTGACCTGTTAGCTGGAATTTGATTACCATGGGCTTGGCTTGTAGGAAACGTTGTGTTTAACGATAAGGTCCACTGTATCGTAGAAATTAAAATGCACTTTTTCATTCCAAGGAAACTTCCTGCAAATTGCCCTCTGTCGTGAAGGAAAGAAGGCGTGGTTACTGAGCCTGAGAATGTAAACTGAAAATGTTCATAAGGCCCCATGTTGATGTCTAGATAAAAGATGTTCATTTGTATGATATTCTCAAGTTCTTGACGAGCTTATTAATCAGAAAACCACGTACAGCTTACACTGCTTATTATGCACTCGTTGAGTTCTCTTTCTCAGGAAACTGGAGATGATCTTCCAATAAGTGTAATTGCAGTAGTTGGAAGCTCAGCTCTTAAGGAATCAGGTTCACCATTAAGTCAGCCATTCTTGTTAAGAACCTGACCTACTGCATAATGAAGTCATCCATCTATTTGATTTGCAAATAGAAAGACTTCCATGAATAGGACACTTGCTGCATTTGGGGTACGATAGTACCTTGAGTTCAAAGTTCTAAGTATCATACTTCATGGTGTAATCTACATGAACTAATCTGCCATGTTAGTCAATGCAGGAGTGTATGATCTATTCCAAGCCACACTTATTTGTGCTAGCAGTTCCTCTACACAGATAGATGAGGTCTGTCAGTACAGTTGGTGACAGAATAATAACTGTCCTCCAAAGAACAAAACTTCACCTTGGCCCAGGACTATCCTACCCATAATTTTGGATTTTCTCTGATGCAGTGCCTTGCTGCTCCATACCATGTGGCTTCTGTTCACATTTTACTGTGAAAGCATAGGGATCCTCCTGCCCCAGTTTTGTTGCTATCTACAAGCCAAGCTCATCTTTGCAAATGTCTTTGAGTTTATTTTATTAAGTTAGAAATGGTTCTTTGTAAAGACCACTGGAATATGAAATAGTTGGGAAATCAAGAGAGACTGGGATGGGGAGGGAAGGGAGGACAAGAGGGTCCTGGGGTGCCAATCTCAGCTCCTTTTGTTGGCATGATTCCCGTTGTCTTTGCAAGAGAGGTTTGCAAGAGATTTTCATAAAATTAAAATTACAGTTTTAATGAAAGTTGTTTTATAATCAATATAAATGATTTGCTAATTTAATCCATATGTATCTATAGCTTATAATTAAAGTAATACTATAGCATACTACTTTGTATTGTCAATGGCCCCATCTGGCTTTGATGTTTATGCTCAAAATGTAGTTCAGAGCGTGCTGTACTTGAAGTATGTCTGCAAGAGTAATGAATTGCCACATATTTATTCTCTTGTGACCAAGGGCAATGTCATACAGCATGCCAACTGTTCAGTTGTAAGTCCTGGCAAGTGTAAGGGACCTTTGGTGACGTCTGCTCTCATCCCTTTCCAGAAGCGGAGGAGCTCTACCAGAAGAGAGTGCTGACCATCACTGGCATCTGCATCGCCCTGCTAGTGGTTGGCATCATGTGTGTGGTGGCCTACTGCAAAACCAAGTGAGCCTTCCTCCTCCGGCCTCCTCCCTCCTGCGTGCGCAGGCGCCGTAACCTGCCAGGGCTAGGCAGAAACCCGGCTCTGCAGCCCGGTCTCGATAAGAAGTGGGGAGAGTGGCCCCAGGGGACTTTTCCCCTTGTTTTTTCTTCTAAATAATCCATTTAGAGCACTTTTCCTAACCACACAATTAGGAAGCACAGCCTATCTCTGTGAAAATGTTCAGCAGGCTTCTAATAAGTGACCACTGCCCTGCGACCAGAGAAAGGGCTGGAAGGACAGGCTTCTATGGGGCCCCACATGCACGCATGTGTGTGGGGATGTGGGTGCACGCACCACCTTCTGAGAGGAGAGGCGTAGGTGCCAAACACTGCTGAGGACATGTCCCATTTGCACTGACGCTTCGAAGATAACGCTTGGTGGTGTTTGAGATGCCGGTTTCTGATCATTATACTGATTATTTTTCAATTCCATCTAAGTTTCCAGTTCAGGTACTCTCAAGCATGAGACGTACCAAAGGAATCTCATGGGAGGAAAATCAAGAAAAGCTTGCTTTGAAAGACCAAAAGGAACAACATTAAAATAGATTTGTGTTCACTATGTTTGATCCTTTAAACTGGGTCCGTATTAACAAATATAATTACTTTGTAGCATGAATTCCCTCCACTTTCTCTCTGATGTATAACCTCCACTTCAAGTCCAAAATAATATTAACGGTTTTGTTTTCTTGCTTCATCACATAAATTCTCTTGCCAACACCAATCATGGGGGTATTATTATGACCTAAATGTTGCATTGAGGAACAAAACTAATGCCATGAAATCAAGGGCATGGATGGTATTTTCTTAATACTCCAAGACTCAGTGCCAGAATTGAGTAAGTGATAGAGATAAGCCTTGATGGAGTCAAGCTTAAGAGTCTTTTTAGATATTTTAATATTTATTACCTAATCATACACAAGAGTGTTACTAGAGTAGGATCATGTTACAACTGTGCCAAAATCTGCAGGCAAAACATGCACACATCTTCACTCATGTGCAGTGCTATACATGCACACAAACTATGCATAATGTGCAGATTCCAAACTGACTGCCTTTTCTTAAGAGACAAACAGGCAAAATCATAAATGAAATCAGCTTTCTCAATTGCACAGCACAAATTATTACCTAAGACATCTGTAAGACATAGGCACAGATGGATGGATTAGGGAAGTTGGGGTTTTAGCCAAATACCAACTTGATTTCTTTTGTCTTCTCTTTCTCTCTTATCTCTCAGCAGTCCCGTTTAATTTCTGTAAGAATCCCATTCGGCTTCTTAAATCTATTTGCTGGGAACGTCTGGTTCCCCGTCGGCCCTTACAAAGGCAAATTCTGACATAAAATGGCGCATCCCTCCTTCCCCCTGCCTCACAACCAGTCCACGGTCTGAGTTAGATGTTGGCCAAATAAAGAATTGACTCTACTAAGAAATGTAAATGATAGAAAAAAGTCAATGCTCCCTTTTTCGTGTCTAGGAAGCAGCGGAAAAAGCTTCACGACCGGCTCCGGCAGAGTCTTCGGTCTGAGCGGAACAACATGGTGAACATAGCGAACGGGCCTCACCACCCTAATCCACCCACCGAGAACGTTCAGCTGGTGAATGTATGTTGACTCTGGCCAGTGGCAAAGCTGAGCATCTCTGCTCTGTTCAGGCACCTTGAAATTTATTTTCTAAAGCTCTTAGGCTCTTAGCCACTGCCATTAATCTCCATGGCTTCCAGGAATCCAAGGTTTTGCCAGGAGAAAATAATGGGAACATTTTTTAAAGTGGATTTGGTTACTGTAAAACCAGCACATTTCCTCTTCTAAAGTGTTCATTAAGGGGCTGGAATAATAATGTTGGGTTTGTTCTGTAGGGAGGCCATAACTGGAAGAAAGAAAAGAAAAACACAAAGAAAAACTAAGAAAATTAGTGTTACAAGAATGAGAAGGAAATGTTTTATTTTTATAATTTGGAAATGAAGGCTACTCCAGGCTATAACTGATTAGTACTGATAACTGAGCAAAGGGCTTGAGAGTGATTTGTATTAGAGGCATTTCACAGGCGCCTGATGATTTGCTGATTGATTTACATACAAAGGAATGGATTAAGGCATGGAAAGGTCAAGTGACTTATCAAACTTGCTTCTCAGCAAAACTGGAAAAACATAGTGCTTTCTTATTCCTCGACACTTTCTACATGGTGCCACACCCTCCAGATGAAGTATAGCCTTTAGGCATTCAGGTATTTTGTTTAAAATATACCAAGCACTAAGCCTTTAAATATAAAAAAAATCATAGAATATTAGATTGTGGAAAGTCTTTCAAGATCATCGTCCAAACCTCCCTTTTTTACAGATAAGGGCTAGTCTTGGACTCAGTTTTCCTGGCTTTGGAAGTATTGCTCTTCCAATTCCACTACAATTCTTACTATTTTCTTCATCTCTTTCTGATGTTTGGCTTTTTATAAGAAAAGCTTGAAGATGATCTTGCACTACATTTTCTATCCTATAGAAAAAAGGTATATTTTGTGTGGAATGAATATATCACCCAAGTCCAGAGCTGGACTTTACTAAACTGTCAGTAAGTCTTGCAGCAAAGACCTTCAGGAGATTGTTAGATTAAGGTGCTAGTGGGTTAACATACTTTGCTGCTTTCCTCCCCTGACCCAGTGTTCACTAGAATGTTCTGCACAGTTGATAAATGCACTCACTACAGCATACCTATAAGCTGTTGCTATGAATATTACAATATATAGGAAGCTGAGTGACTGCCTGGATTCTAATTATGGCTCAAGCTGTGGGACTTCAGGCTTTAATCTTTCTAAATCCTATTTGTTCATTATGAAAACGGGACTGAAAATAATACCTTCTTCAGAAAGTTCTTGTTAGCATTAAAGAAAAGAATCTATATAAAGCACTTAGCCCCGTGGCATTTAATGAGTGTTGAATAATTGTGAAATATTATTTTCATTAGATTCACTACGTTTACAATGCATTCCAAGGAGCAAGAGTGAAATGGTACACGAACTGGGAATAGCTCATTGTGTATGACACCACCACCTTTTCCTTAAAGCAAGCTAACTGTTCATACAGTGCGCAGAGATCCACGTGGAATAGCCTTTTCTCTAAGGGAACCAGTTGGAATTTCAAGCATAATTCAAGTTGAATATTTTGGGGGTTTCCACAAATATATCAAGTTCTTTCTGTGCACACAGTCCATCAGATTATAATGTGCCCCATTTCATCCAAGGTATTCCTTTCCATGCCTTACCCTCTTATTTAACTCAATTTAGTGTAAATATGAATAGCATTTAAAATCAACTTCAGAATGTGCCTCTCTCACCAAGGGAAGTCAGTAATAGCTACTGCGTGATTTGGTGATGCAAGTGAAGTTGAATGCATTTGCATTGCACATGGGTCCTCTATGTACCCAAGACATGTGACCTTGACAACCATTTTAAATCTTTCAGATCTCTCAGTAGCCTTGTTAGTCTTACCACTGACAAGTTAACAATTTTGATGGTATCATTTAAGCAACATGGGTACTAGGAAATTGTGAGGGAGAGGTAGATCCAAAATACAGAGACTTTAAACAAAATCTTCCTTTTCTTGTAACAACCAGGGAAAAAAGGAATATTGAACAATGATTTGCATTGAATTCTAGTTATGTTATCGACAGGAAACAAAACAGAAAAAAAAAATAGGTCTGTTTCTGATAATATGCGGTATAATTATAGGATCTACATTGAGGGTACATCCAAAGAGTAATTTATTAACTCCACTTACCAAATCTTAAGGCCATAGTAGCCAGGATAGGATTTGCTGTCTGGCCATAGGAGAAGTGAAATTTATCATGAAGCATGTGTACTAGATTTTTTTTGTACACAACAATGTTAGTGTTTTGATTTATATAAAGCTTCAAGTCGTGTCTCTTTGTTTATCCAGCAATATGTGTCTAAAAACATCATCTCCAGTGAGCATATTGTTGAGCGAGAAGTGGAGACGTCTTTTTCCACCAGTCACTACACCTCGACAGCTCATCACTCCACCACTGTCACACAGACTCCTAGTCACAGGTATGAGAACGAAAAAATGGCATGACATTTCTCCATGAACGAACTTTTGCATATTTCCTTGTGCTGTCATTGCCTAAGAAGGAACAGGAGACATGTATGGCGCAGTGGAATACAGTTAAATGTATCATTTGGGACAAAAACATCAACTGGCTCTGCCATTTAACGGCTGTTTAAATTTGAGCCTGAATTTTCTTCCTCATCAAACAAAGGGAAATAATACCTACCTCAAGGATTGTTGTTCCCCATTTTTAGAGGTTGCTGTTACTCTTTCCCAACCACTCACTGAATTGCTACACTGGGAAAAGTCTTAGATGCTATATGATACTTAGAAGTTGACTTCTCATAATGGTTGACTTGCCCTGGGAGATGCGCATGAGAAATTGGTTAAATTTGCAAATGCCCTGGTGACCAGTATCAAAATGCATGCTACCAAAGGCAACACTAGACTTCTAAGGGTAGCTCATTGGACAAGTGTTTCCTTTACCTAAGCCACTCAAAAACACAATGATTTTAAGACCACTTGGTACACAATGACATTTGATGAAAGCATTGAATGAGTGAGCAAATGAAGAACCTATATCCTTACAAAACCAATCTAAATCAAGATCCTTTCTATACCAAGTATCTTTGTAACAATTCTATTCTGAGATAAGTAACGTCATGGTAAACTACTGATGCACAGATAATTTGAAATATTTGTCAGGTCATTCTCTTTCATTTCCATTGTTGCATATAACTTTTTTAAATTACTTCCTTGCCTTTCATGTTTCCCCTCTAGCTGGAGCAATGGACACACCGAAAGCATCATTTCAGAAAGCCACTCTGTAATCATGATGTCATCCGTAGAAAACAGTAGGCACAGCAGCCCAACTGGGGGCCAAAGAGGACGTCTTAATGGCATAGGAGGCCCTCGTGAATGTAACAGCTTCCTCAGGCATGCCAGAGAAACCCCTGACTCCTACCGAGACTCTCCTCATAGTGAAAGGTAAAACCGAAGGGCAAAGCTACTGCAGAGGAGAAAGAACCCCAGTAAGAGAATCCCCATGAGCACCTGCGGTCTCACCTAAGGAAGTCTACTCTAATGAGAATAAGGGGCAGCAGTTGCCTGTTCTAGGAGTGCTCCTAGTTGATGAAGTCATCTTTCTGTTTGACTGAACTCATTTCTTCTGAGCTCCTCACGTCGTCCCAGTGGCAAACAGGCAACAGACTCTTAAAGAGCTGGAATGATTTGACGTGGAAGGTGCCGCACACTTGGAGTTCCTAGCTCTGGCCTTAGGCTCAGCCCCACTCGAGATCTGTTTCCTCAGTTGTAACTTTAGAGAGATGGCACCAGTGATTGATAAGGACCCTTCTATAATTCCAATTTGCCAGTTATCCAAACTCTGGTCGAACTGACCTCGTGTTTTCACGTACTAACTCTTCTTACCTTCCAGCCTCAGTTAAATCAAATCAAGGGCTATGTCACTGCTGACTGTCATGGGGAACAGGTGCTTGCTTTCCACCATAGAGTATCCCTTTTATGAATTCCAAGAAGGGATGAATAAATGAATCTTTTATATGCTGCGTCTGGCAGTCTTCACAGGTGGTTTTTAAAGCAGATATTGCCTCTGATATGGCCCTTTATTCCTGAATGTTTTGACTTTCCTCTGGGGGTATTGGATTGGGGTTGGGGGAGCTATGGCAGAAGTAAAATACAGAACAGAAGAAAGTGAACTGAAAGAGATGCTTAATAGGAATACTGATTCACAGTTTCTCTTTTTCCATTTTCACCTAAACTGGGAGAGAGTTTATATCCAGCCACCATTTCTAGCCTATCAGTAAGCTGTCATTTGTTTGTTTTCAAATCCAGTGGGGTTTGTCTCTTTATAAATGAAGAGACTGGGTCATCTCAGTCTAATCTTGGACCACTTGTTCAAAGCTTTACAGAATGTCAAATCAATATTTATTTGGTATTTACATGGGTGGAATAATTTTGACAGACATTTTCCACTCATGGACTGAGAAGTACCTAAAACAAAGGATGACCAGTTCTGGGCTTTCAGGTCATATAGAACCTGCTAATCACTGATTCAAGGGCCTCTCTATGAAATACTCCAAAATGGTATTTCAGAGTTTTATGGAATTAAAGGTTGTTCTGTTCATGTGTGAAAAAGTAGGTATTGATGCAAAACTGGTGTAAAAAATTAGTCTTAGATTCATAAAATTATATCTTTATGTATGAAGAAAGTTTATTTGTCCTATTTTAGTCTTTTTTAAAACCTGAAAAAGAGGTTAGTGATAAATTCTTCCTTCATCACTACATGTGACATCTATCTTTAAAGGTTGACATTTCCCTACTGTGGTAGGCCTCCTTGAATACCCCAGACATTCTCTGAGACTGCAAAACATACCTGAACCTAGAGATCATGGGGAGAAAAGATAAATCACTTTTGCATGCTGGTTGAATTTGGGTTAGCAATTCTTGGAGAGCTTAATTTAAGTATCCTCAAAGCAAAAAGTCTGAAGACTCGAGCCCCAAGTATTTCAATCTCCAGACACTTTCCCATTTTAGACGCAGCTAGATCTCACATCCATATAACTCTGAATCATGGCTGAGAAGCAAGGAAGTTAATGGGTTCCTGTAGCTACTGTTCAGAGGATGATGTCCTGGGTCATTACAGGTCATGTCAAATTAGACTCTGAGAATGCCAGTGTGAAGAAGAGAGTCGCTTCGTGTTATGCACTGGTAACATTTTTATAAAAAGCTGAGAAATGTGACTCTGAATAAGCCACATCTTCAGTGTCAAGTCAGGTCTCCTTATTCTGGGGGAAAAAACATGATATGGTAAAAAACAAACAAACAAACAAACAAGTCACTCTGTGCCTTCACAACAAGGTTCACTGAGCATTATACATAATATAACATAAGGTGTCATGGTACATCCAGTCTTGAGCAGTCACAAAGATAAGTCAAAGACTGATGCAGCTGTAAGTGTTGGAAGAAAGGTAGACCAGAGATTGAGCATACTACAAAGCCAACGTAAGGTTCCCTCAGGCTTATCTGTGGATGTCTTGGTCACTGGGATGGAGAGTTGCAAACTGAATGTTAACAAGTAGCATTTCGTGGAAAAATTTAAAGCACACAAATGTGTTACACTGTTATCAGGAATAAATCTAAGTCACTATGCTCTCTTTTTTTCATAAGACATAACCTTATAGCTGAGCTAAGGAGAAACAAGGCACACAGATCCAAATGCATGCAGATCCAGCTCTCAGCAACTCATCTTAGATCTTCTTCCATTCCCCATTTGGGCTTCATTCTCTAAGACCCCTTGGCCTTTAGGAAGGTATAGTATTTAAGTAATACTTCTTTCCTTTACAAACCCCTGAGCCTTGGTCCTTATAAACTGACAGGTTTCCAGGACCTAGTGCCCTCTTGTCTTGACTTGTTTTTATTTAAAATCATATGAGATTGAACATCATAAAAGCTTTCATGAGCTAGGCAATGTAGTTGATCTGTGCATGCCCTCCTGTAAGGAACCTCTTGGCTACATAATTTTAGATTCCAAGGGGGCGGAATGTCCTAGTGTAAAAGTCAAGAAGTATACAACGATTAGAGAGTCTTTGTTCTCTGATTTAATATCGTGAACTCTGTCCCCCTCACCCTCCCTACTCCATGCCTCTTATTCCACCACACTTATGCGGGGTATTCTGTGCTCACACAGGTATGTGTCAGCCATGACCACCCCGGCTCGTATGTCACCTGTAGATTTCCACACGCCAAGCTCCCCCAAATCGCCCCCTTCGGAAATGTCTCCACCTGTGTCCAGCACGACGGCATCCGTGCCCTCCATGGCAGTCAGCCCTTTTGTGGAAGAAGAGAGACCTCTGCTTCTGGTGACACCGCCCAGGCTGCGGGAGAAGTGTGACCACCACCCTCAGCAATTCAACTCCTTCCACCACAACCCCGCGCATGAGAGCAACAGCCTGCCCCCGAGCCCCTTGAGGATAGTGGAGGATGAGGAGTATGAAACGACCCAGGAGTACGAGCCAGCTCAAGAACCTGTTAAGAAACTCACCAACAGCCGGCGGGCCAAAAGAACCAAGCCCAATGGCCACATTGCCAACAGGTTGGAAATGGACAGCAACACAAGCGCTGAGAGCAGTAACTCAGAGAGTGAAACAGAAGATGAGAGAGTAGGTGAAGCGACACCTTTCCTGGGCATACAGAACCCCCTGGGAGCCAGTCTTGAGGCAGCACCTGCCTTCCGCCTGGCCGAGAGCAGGACTAACCCAGCAGGCCGCTTCTCTACACAGGAAGATTTGCAGGCCAGGCTGTCTAGTGTAATCGCTAACCAAGACCCTATCGCTGTATAAAACCTAAATAAACACATAGATTCACCTGTAAAACTTTATTTTATATAATAAAGTATTCCACCTTAAATTAAACAATTTATTTTATTTTAGCAGTTCTGCAAATAGAAAACAGGAAAAAAAACTTTTATAAATTAAATATATGTATGTAAAAATGTGTTATGTGCCATATGTAGCAATTTTTTACAGTATTTCAAAACGAGAAAGATATCAATGGTGCCTTTATGTTATGTTATGTCGAGAGCAAGTTTTGTACCATTACCGTGATTGCTTTTCCACAGTATTTCCGCAAAACCTCCCATATATTCAGTTTTTGCTGGCTTCTTGTGCATTGCATTATGATGTTGACCGGATGTATGATTTGCAAGACTTGCAACTGTTCCTCTGTTTGCTTACAGTAGCACCCAATCAGTCAGTACGTCTTGTAATGGCACATCCATCCAAATATTCTTTTCTTCTGTATGAAGTTTTCTTTTGCTTTCAGTATATGAAACGAGTCTGTCTACTCTGCCAGCCAAAGGTTTGCTTCACTGGGCTCTGAGATAATAGTAGATCCAACAGCATGCTACTATTAATTACAGCAGGAAACTGCATTAAGTAATGTTAAATATTAGGAAGAAAGTAATATTGTGATTTTAAAAAACTATATTATTAACCAGAAGACAGCTTGCTCTCACTCAAAGGAGCTGCCATTTATTTTGATTTATTTTTCTTGATAAGCAAGCAACAGTCTGGGGGGTAGCAGAGAAACTGGGTTCTGGCTTGCTATCAGAGTTAAGTCCAAAACCTTACAAGAGGACTCAATGTCACTTTCTCTCTGGAGGAATGACACAGCAGCTCATCTAGTTGAAGACTAAACCATGGCTGGGAAAGGTACAATCATTCCTGACTTGTATTTTTCACTGATTTCAGAGCCAGTGATTGGTTGTGTCTTCTCGGCTCAAAACAGACATGCTATGGCACAAAAACCCCAGCTCAAACAGCACACTTAGCAATTTGTCTGAAATGCTTCTAGAGTGAAATGTGCCTGCTGTACGTAGTGGTGACTTGTCATCTTGGGGAAATAGAGTGTCTAGAAGGAGTGACTGTATAGAAGACACAGGTGGAGAGCAGCTGTGTGACTGGGATGCAATTTTATACAGTTTTGTTGACCGCTCCTTTCTCCTCATTCTTCCTCTCTTGTTTTTCAATGTTGCCTTGATTAGGTCATAACTATGCATGAACATTCTTGTCAGGAATGGCCAATGTGCATGTGATTTGTGATTAGTAAGAACCTCCCGCAGAGATACTTCACCGGGAAACATCAATAGTGTTGGAAGATGGCACATTTCCTTGCAGAGATGCCCCCTCCTGTGTACTGACCTCTCGATTTGCAGCCTGTACCACCCACGTCCCCCTTTTCTTACTTTTTGCTTTACTGTCATAAAACAGGACTAAGATGAGCCTAAACTTTGCCTGTTCTCTTGTAATTGTAAATCCAAAGATGGCTTATAGGTATTGGCATTTGAAATAACTGCTAATCCAGAAAAGCAAGAGACTTTTTTTTTTTAATTGGAGGCTGCATTCAATGACCTCCCTGATGTCTGTCAAATCAGGCTGGGGCTTTACTTAGGTTCCAAGCAGACTCCTAGGAGTCATGTGACAAGATAGGGAACAGGTTAGCAGGGGGATCAAATTACTGGGCATGCAGTCAATGAGAGTAATTGCTTCTTGTTTGAAGGTGAACTGAACCTATTTCTTCATCAAATCTCTAAGGTAAAGGTAAAGGAAAGAAATAACATGCAGGAAGAAATAACATGCTTAGAAGAAAGGTGCAGGTGGAACGTGAGTCCTGTCATTGAGCTCCTACATGTTTCCGCCACCCACAGAGATACAGGTGCTTGACGTCAGTCTGAGTATTTGGTCTCCCCAGCTGCCCTTCATTGTTCACATACCACGTTCTCCATGCCCAGCAGTGTCCTCATCAGCTTGTCGACCTGCAGAGAGGGGACTCTCACAGGCTGCACGAGATGCACTGATTTCCCAGGTCTGTAGAAACAAGTATGCTCATGGCGGGAGCACGGTCAACCCAAAGCAGTTCTATAGGTTACTTAAATGTTGCCTTTGAAGGGCGTGAGTCAGTCTTATACTATTTCAATAAAAAACTTCCTATCATGAACTAAAACTCTAAAATTTCTATTTCAAATTCTACAGACTTTGGAGTATTCAAATGTCTCATTCTGGAGAATTCCAGGAATAAATAAAATCTGTTGAGAGCAATGAACAACATTTCCATGAGTATGAAAATAGCTGTAAATTTTCAGGTTGCGAAAATATGTGAAAACTTAGGATAAGAGGAAATATCATTTCACACTTGACTCTGGTCACTCACAGAGGTGACATTAGTTGGGACAGCATTACCATCTGTAGAGTAAGAGCTTCCCGTGATGAGAAAGGCCAGCTGACTCCTCAGGGTTATCTGCTGCAGCTGCCAAATTTGTGTTCACAAGGACACCTCCGATGTTTAATTGCCACGTGGCTCTCAACCAACCCTGTGTATAAACACAGGCAGGGCTGTGGCAATTCAAAGGAGCGTGAACCTTTGTTCCCAGCATATGAAAAACTTTCCTGGGTTTTTGGGTAGTGGAAATTGCCCAGAAGTTCAACAGCAACTTTGTTCCCTGGGCCTGAAACTATATCCCACTGAAGGGTATGCAGTGGAACATAGTATATGCAAAACTCCTTGTTTTCACTCAAGGTTCCTTTTCTGTCCTACCGTCCTTTTCTGTCTAGTGTGACTTTTCTTCAAGAGTACCTGGACAGCCTCATGCTTGCTACAAAATAGCACTCGACCTGGGTGCATGTGAATGTGTTTCAAACACCAACATGCCATATCTTCTTTGTTTAAGTGTGACCGTCTTGATAGTTTATCCAGGGTAACTTGCTCAGTAATTATTCCTTTTTTTTTTTTTTTTCTTTTTTGGACTGGGGTTGAAAGGTGCATGGCTCACATTGGTGACTATAAGGAAGGCCTGGCTTTTTCATTCAGTACTGGCTGCATTCCACCAGCCACAGAGATTTCTACCTATAAAGACCCCTGAAACACTGCAGAGAAGTGCAGACAAAAGGAAATGGCCACATATCACAAGTTCTATTATATATTCTTTTGTAAATACATATTGTACATTACTTGGATGTTTTCCTAAATCATTTACTGTCTTTATGAGTTAATGTCAGATTTTTACTCTCTCAACTTACTGTATAACATTGTAAATAACATAATGTCCTTTATTATTTATATTTAAGCATCTAACATAGAGTTGTTTTCATATAATTTTAAGATAAATGTCAAAAATATATGTTTTTTTTGTTTTTCTTTGCTTTAAAATTATGTATCTTTTCCTTTTTCTTTTTTTAAATAATTTATTGTTCAGGAGAAAGAATGTATATGTAATTGAAACTATTTGAAGAATGCACATTTGAAGGCCGTGGGGTACTGATAAACTAAAGAATTTATTATCCAAAATACCAAGCAATAAGTAATTGTGATTTATTTAAAGGTTTGTTCATTTTCCATGAAAGACATGCTGCAATAAAAATGCTACTCTGTGGAGACCCGGGAGTGTTGCTCAGCAGACTAAGGTTTCAGTCTGTTAGACCAGCACCTTTCATGTTCCTGCAACAGCTGTGTTAATTTTAGGAATGTGTTTGATGGACCCCACGATCATCTTGTCTGTCCATTGCTTATACTGCACTACCTATTCTTCAATCATCTTCTGCCTCTTGATTCCGCTTGCCACTATATTCCTTGTTGAAGGGGCCACAACCAAGCAATATGATGCCATACCCCATTCCACGCAATAACATCAGAGGAGACATTTTGGGGGCGCGATCGCCTGGGTCCTGGTTGTTAACATGTTCTGTAGTGACAGAAAGAAGCTTCTTCAGACTAATGGAAATGTTAGTATGGCAGCCCCATGCAGCCGTGAAAAGACAACTTGTCATCGTGACCCAAATAGCCCGAAGGCCACCATGCCTAGAACACCCATGAAAATTGGGCCATGCTAAGCTTTCCTATATCTTCGGTCAATTTCTTTTCCATCAGGCTCTTAATGTGTCGGTTCACAATTTTAAGAGGAGATAAGGCGAATTTGGGCTCATTCCCCTCATTTTATCAATAAATTAAATTCCATGTCCATCTTACCACTCAGGGAAGAGCCTATGCATGAGAAATTTCCCACATCCTAAGACTCATAGAAATGAGGATATTACTTTTCTTACTGAAATTAGCCTAAACAAAAGCCATATTTTAACAAATAGATATTTGCATGGGTGGTACTTTCTATATATTTCAAGTGTTTTACTCATTATTCCAACTATGATAAGGGCTTCTGAAGTATATGAAGGAGAGGCCTGCCATCCTTTGGGGTACACAGACGCCCCCTCTGAAGTTTGAGGGTACCCTGAGGCTTCCCATCAACATCATTCCATACATGTTTGTGATTCCTATGACCTACTAACAGATCCTCTCTGAAACAGTCTGGATGTCTAGGAGATTTGAAGCGTGATCTTTGTGCTAGTTTTTACTGTTTATATTACTAAATTTTCAAAACTACTCAGAAACCTCTTATTTGTGTCAATCGTGATTCACACACACACCTTATACAAATTCTGAACACCCACTGACCTGAAGCCCCCACATTCTCTCACTTATTCAATGCAGAAAATTCAGGATTAAACAGAACATTTCAAAATTAAAGACAAATATATTTTCCTAGGTCTTCAAGATTAAGCTGAGGCTTTTTCTATCTCCCCAATTGAAGATTACAAGTAGCTCTCTTAGGAATTCAGGTTAAAATTGGGTACCTAGGACATTTGAGGCAAATGCATTGTGGTAGAGGGTGGTAGAGTGAGAGTAAAGATGCACATATAGACAAATTAAATATCTGGATAATTATTACTATTCTCCATTCACTTCAATCATGTAGACTCTTGAAGGTCAAACCCAGGCCAGCTCTCCAAACTAGCAAACAATTTGTCTTTGCAACCTAGTGTCTTCCCTGCCATTAGATTT